GCTTATCTAGTAATGTGTTGACAGAGCTCATATGCTTGTCATTGGAAGTGTGATAGTGCTCTTATGCATATCTGTGAAAGTAATGATATAGCTTGTATGCTTATCTGTTGGTATGCGATATAGCTTGTATGCTTATCAATTATGAAATGGGGAAGTGCTTAATATGAGTTACTGTCTCATATGAATTGTTTGGCTAGGTTCTGAGCCATGGTTATAAATTGAGAATTGAAAAGAATTGGAAAACGGGTTGTAACATGGACTTGTATGTCATGAAACTGTAAAGTGTAATAAGGGAAAGTATCAGTGTTGGCCATCTATCAACTGCTAATCTTTTAGTCATTGTTCATATTTGGTTTAGTGTATTCCTACTAGGCTGTGGCTCACCCTATATGGGAATATCATTTTCAGGTACAGGTAGCATGCCACCTCCAAGGACGTAGCTTGGGAGGCTAGAGGCAGGCGGACTTTTGTTGTTTTGTTTCTTTGATGTATTACATGTATATTCAAGCCAAGGGCTTAATGTGTAAATGAGTTAGCACTCTTTTGTTGTAACCAAGTGTAAACTTGGAAAGCTGTAAGCCTTTAGGGCATTTGCTTTTGTTGTTAAAATGTAATACTTTTGGTAATGGAACTCTGATGAATAGAAGAAAGTGGAGCTTTTATATTTCAATGTATGTCTTTATTGATGGGTTTAATGTTATTATTTTGAGGGCGTTACAATAGGATTGTTATACAAAAGTTCCAAATTAGCCACAAAAGCATAGGTATATGAGTCGAGCCCAGTATAGTTGCGTAATCCAATCAACTTTCTACCAATCAAAATACATGGTCTCACAATTATAGAGTTCATCATTTAGGGTGCTCAACTCGGTCACACGATCACTGAATCATACTTCCAGTGGTTTAGTCATTGAAACAGTAATATAACAAATCACCCTAAGCATAGGTTCAGATGTACATGTGCATGTGCAGATTTAATCGATACCCCAATACGCATTTCACAAATTTCCCCAAATGGAACATACACATTCAATGAATATGGTCTCGATCTTGTGGGTCCAACCAATCTAAATACACATGCAGCAGATACGAAAGGATATGCCGATTCGAATCAAATAATATCCCAAGTAAAGATGTACACATGTACTAATTCAAAATCAATCAACACATAAGCATTCGTTTGTAAACAATATAGATACCTGGGATAACAATCACAGTATTCTGAGTGCTTTCTGGGATGAGTTTAATTACTCTATCCTGAGTAGTAATTCCTACCACTGGTACAAATTTAGCTGAGGCAGAACATTTATTCACATTGCCCAGTTCGGGAACAATCCCTTACCATATGGTTCATTTTACCACACCTATAACAAGCCCTCGAAATTCGACAACGACCCCTCGGTGTTTCTTACACTGGTGGTGACAAAAGTTCTTGCCATAGCAGCAACTGACGTTGTTGTCTTAAGATCTCTGTCATTTCTTGTACCATTCTTCCTAGTCTATCAAGTCGGGCTGTGAAAGAGCTTTCCAGTTCATATGCCCTTAATTTAACCACCCTCTACACAAACTCTCATTAAACCTTGCCAATTACTGGGATGTCCAATACAAAAATAAACACAGATACACATGGGTACATTCGCACATAGGCACATTGTTGTATTCTCATTTCACATATCGTACGCAATAAATCACATACGTAACAGATAATTGCATAATTATCAAATATCGCATGCTGAACATTTACCAAGTAATTATATACTCAAATCATGTTCATGTTTTACATAGGCACCCATTGGCAGAATCGAATGCGCATAAGCAACTTTTCATGGTTCATATGTTCATGTATGTGCACTATAACAAACCAAATTTTATTGTACACAGTAGTGTAACAATTCATATCTCATATTCAAATCATATGTGGTATTTCCTTTAGCGTAACATATCATGTTGGTCAAGCATAACAAGTTCCATAATGGAACCTTCGGTACCAGGTAACATATTTCATTCATAAGCCACGGTATTGTTTCCCCCGAACGAGGGCTCCTGCTAAGGATACCACAATTACATTCGAAGAAAATTTAGATAGTCATTCACTCATGCAAAACATAGCATTTCAAGGAACTTGTCATTTCATATCATCAGAAAATAATAAAAGTTGACCATTTGATTAAACTTGCATTATACTTTATACAAAAGATTCACAAGTATGCATATACTAAAGACCATACATATTCCAATGGTTTACAATGAAAGCAATTCACGAATTTATAACACATAACTGTTCATATCGAAACAATTAAGCATATTCTTGATGCTTCTAAGTTCACATTTATCACATGAATGCATCCTAGATCTTTTCTAGACGCTTATTGCTCATTTGGACAAGTGTGTGAGTTATTAACTTGTGCTCTGATATCACTTTGTCACGACCCGAACCCGCCCCCATGGGTTAAGGACGTAACCGACCAGTAATCATGAGATTACCTACGACCTCAAACCAAACCAAACGTATTTTAACAGAGTTAATGGGGGCCAAACGGAAGCAATTTAAAACTTTGTCCATAGAGCTGTGCTTACATGGCACATCAAAACAATCACACAGATACATATTAATAACTCATATCAAAATATGTACTAACACAACCTCTGTACATACAGGATCATTCGAATCTAAGTCAGCCAAGTAAAACTATATACAAACGTAAACCAAAGTCCTCGCCAACATGACAAAATGACACAAGATAGCAAAAGGGCGAAGACGTGTCTTGTTCGTGAGACGCGAGGGCTGACTCTTCAAAACCTTGGTTGTTCCACACAAAATTCAGTGAGGCTGGATTTGGACCTCTCTTGGCTCACCTACAAACACATGAATGAGCGTGAGTGATAGCCCAGTGAATAATATCAAATAAAGAAGTCGTACAAACGATATGTAGAACAACATAGTCCAAACGGCCTTGGGCCCAATTCGTATTTCTATTTAACATATATATACACAATTTAAGTCAAGTGACCGTAGTTCGTATCAGGCTGGCCTTCGACCCATTTATACTTTCATTTATGTCAGAACGGCCTCTGGCTCATCCATTCGTGTCAAAACGGCCTCTAGCCCATTTATTCATGTCAAAACGACCTTCGGTCCATTCATTTATCTCAAAGCGACCTTCGGTCCATTCATTTATCTCAAAACGACCTTTGGTCCATTCGTTCATGTCAAAACGACCTTCAGTCCATTCGTTTATCTCAAAACGACCTCCGGTCCATTCCTTTATCTCAAAACGACCTTCGGTCCATTCATTTATCTCAAAATGACCTTCGATCCGTTCGTTCGTGTCAAAACGACCTTCGGTCCATTCATTTATCTCAAAACGACCTTCGGTCTGTTCGTTCGTGTCAAAACGACCTTCGGTCCATTCATTTATCTCAAAACGACCTTCGGTCCATTCATTTATCTCAAAACGACCTTTGGTCCGTTCGTTTATCTCAAAACGACCTTCGGTCCGTTCGTTCGTGTCAAAACGACCTTCGGTCCATTCATTTATCTCAAAACGACCTTCAGTCCATTCATTTATCTTAAAACGACCTTCGGTCCGTTCGTTCGTGTCAAAATGGCCTTTGGCCCATTCACACTTTTGTGTCAAATTGGCCTTTGGCCCAATCATTCATATCGAAACGGCCTCTGGCCCATTCATTCATGCTTGTCAAAACGGCCTCTGGCGCATTCATTATTTCTTGTCAAAATGGCCTCTGGCCCACTGCAAACTTTCATATCAGACATTGTCCACCATTCAAATTAATGAACTTACAGACTTACATAGAGGTAAGCAATAAGACAACAACATATTCAAACATCTTTTGTTAAGATATTACTCACAGTGATCGGCTTGTGGATTTGCCCTAGAGCTTGACCCTAGGAGCCTTAAACACTCAAGTTCTAGCCAAATCTTGAGCTTAATCTTCAAATTCCCAAGCTTGAGCCAAAAATCACACAATTCTCTCATTCTCTCTCTCTCTCTACAGCTGGTTCTCTCTATTTTGAGTCCCAAATTCAGCCAAAATGAAGTGAAAAAGAGAGGATAGAAAGTGTAGTGACTTCACAACAAAACCCACTAAGGCCAATATAATATTAATAAGATAATTGGGCTCTAATTCACCGATTTAATTGATTTAATCTGACCCGAATCAATTTTCAATTAAATTTCACCATAGGTTCCAAAAATTATGCCAATCCCAATGGTGTAATCAATTTCGGGTTCTGTGGCCGATAAGGCCTCCAATTAAATTTCCAAAGCAGATAAATTAAACAGATATTCCTACGGTGAACAGATAGAAATCCAAGACCACATAATGGCACACAAAATCATATTAAACACATAATCATACTCATATTAAGGACCAATTAACATATTACGGAACAGGGTATTACACGAGCTCTCGACCTCTCTTCGAGCATTGCCTTGATAGATCGCGCGACTTCGTATTGCCTCACAATGTATGTCATTCACTTCCTCTCCCAATCGATCAATTTTTCTGTCTCTCGATCATTTTTTTTCAAAAGCTTCAAATTCATCAATTTATTTGAAGTTAGGGTTCTATGAGAGCCATGGAAATGCATACTATGAAGCCAAAATGCATTCTCAATCAATTGATCTCAAACCCTAACTAATCTCTACACACTCCTCTATATCGAACTATTCGACCACTCTGCAGTCTCCTCCCTGATCGCGAACTTGAACCAGTTGAAGTAATTCATCGATGATTGCAAGTCCAATCCCTCAATCTTCTCCGATCTTTCTCTTTCCTTCTTCTGAGATGACCTTGAAAGGTATGATATAATTCACTTTCATGTAGCTTGATTCAAAATTTTGTTGTAACACAAAGAACTTAAACTAAACAGTACACTTAATCTGGGAGAATGACCTCTGATTGAATTCAGCAAACTCTAGCTATTATATAGCCTTACAACTTCCTAAATAAAAGCAGAGATTACAGCCCATGTTTACTCTAACAGAAACATGGTTATCAGCAAAGGAAAGAGTCAAAAACAAACAACCTACTCCCTAATCAACAGGGATTATTCAAAAAACAGAATATCAATCCTAACAAAAACACCTACAAACTTGACAAATTTTGATTTTTTGTAACATGTATTATCTTATTAATGCTGAATTTTGCAGATGGGAGACTCTTCTGTCGAGGTCATGGAAGAAAACCTTGATGCTTCCTAGGAGGCTAAGGTAAAGCATTCTAATTTCATTACATGTACATACACACGTGTATATATTGTAAACACATGTTTTCATAATTTGATTTTGATGGTTTTGGGTTGATTAGGGAAACTGGAGGAAGCAATAGAGTAGCTCACATAGGCTATTTTGCTCAATCCAACCTCAGCAATTATGTATTCTGGTTCTCTCATAGCGATCGCTTCAGCCGAAGTCTTCTTCGAAGAATGTTATCACGGTACCTTCTCTCTCTAGCTCTTATTTTTTTATTCTTACTTGTTAATTTTCGCTTGCATTTCGAGATTTCTATGATTTTTTGGTGGTTTAGTGGAGTGAATTGATGTTGAATTTGATATTCCTCGCTGAGATTCCTATGATTTTTCAATTCAATTTTTAATTTGTTGTTAAATTGTTTAATTTGTTCCAGTGAGCCTTATTATGTTGATGTGTATATTCTTTATCCTTTTTAGTTATTTAATTCTGTGTATTTACACTTACTTTTCTACTGATGCAGTGATGCATAAGAAAGAGTAGCATTACTTCTGACATCCATTGTCAGTATTAAGTGGATGACTATTATTCTCTCTCGCTCTCTGTTTTTCTTTGATCTTCAAAATGTGTAGGTAACAAAAGATCAAAATTCAAGTAGTCTCAAAATTTATTTTTCAAACGGATCTTCTTTGGGAGGGTTTTTTTTTTTTTCTTTTATTTCCTGATGTGCTAATGGAGCTCTGCTCTCTGCTTTCTTCTCTGGCTGCTTGTGAGCTTTGTTGCCTTTGTTCCCAAAAAAGATTATCATTGAAATAATGTTTTATGAAAAAATCCAGGGTTTGAAAAATAAGTTTAAAAATTTGCTGGACTTTCGGAATTTATTTTAAAATAACCTGTATTTTAAAATAACACCTTCCTTCCTTCCTTTCTTCCCATTTGGAAGTTGATTGAATGAATCGTATTTTGACATTGTTTCTTGTTGTTGCATACTATAGATAAATTCAATCTTTGGCACTTGCAGAGTGTATAATTTCATGTTCTTGTTGCATACTATTGATTCATTGAGAATTTTTCTGTTCTGGGTTTTTGGGTTTTGTTGAAATTATTCCACTTTCTTTGTGTTTCGAATTGGACCAATTTTTGGTTGAATCGGTTGTCGTTTTTGTTAAAAAAATCAGTGGCTTTGGTGTTATGTTATGGCTTAGATTGTTCTCACAAGGGGCTTCTTTGCAGTATTTGTTAGATTGGGATGGTTTAGGTAAATTCAATCTGTGGCACTTGCAGAGTGTATAATTTCATGTTCTTGTTGTATACCATTCATTCAATGGGGATGTCTTTGTTCTGGGATTGTGGATTTTGATGAAAATAATCCATTTTCTTTGTGTTTTGAATTGGGCCAATTGGCAGTGGATTCAATTTTTTTTTTTGGTTTTGTTGGAAATCAGTGGCTTTGGTTTTATGTCTTATACATGTAGTTGATTATTGCAGCGTCTAGATTGTTCTCATGAGGGGTTTCTTCATAGTATTCGTTAGATTTAGCTGGTTTAGCTCAAATTGGTTAGCTTAGTGCCCTATAGACTATTATTGCTAAGATTTGTCCTATATACTATATCAATATATATGGTTGTTGAGCAGAAAAATCTTATGCTTCTGATACGATTCGATTCAATTCAATTCAATTCAATTTTTTAATTCATGATGTTGGTTGGAAGCTTATGGACTAATTCAATCAACTCTGGGCTTAGCAAAGCTTTGAGTTAAATTATCATGTTGATTTGAGTTATATATGCAATATATATATATTCCGCTAAAGTCATGCTTCATTTGAAGGCTTCTTGTGGTATGTCTATGTGGTTAGGTATTTCCATAAGGTCTAGATCCATGTAATTCTCATACAGAAATTGATATTCAGCTGTGCATGCTGCAATGAAGTGTTTTTAGTTTCCATTACATTATGACGCATATGTCAACATGCAACTGGCATAAAAATTCTGCATAATTAATGAAGTGTTGTGGTGCATTTTTCGTATTCTCAATTTCGTATTCTCTCTCTCTCTCTCTCTCTCTCTCCGTCAAGCTCTTCATTCCGTCGATTCTTCTCCTCCGAGGGTTTACAATCTTGAATCTCCTCCTAGGGTTTGCCCCTTGCTATTTCAAGTGGTAAATTCTCTCTCTGATCTAGAAGCTTTTCTGTTTTACGGAACATCTTGAATCCCAATGTCATATATTCTGCATTGTTTGGTTAATTGTTATGCCTCTTAGTTTAGTTTAGTTGGACAATGTTCTTATGATGATTTAATGTGATGCACTTTTTTGTTGTCTCTTGCTTTGGATGTTGTTGAGCTATGGATGATCACAAAGTGATCAAAACTTTTGATCGCTTGAAGAGATTGAGAACATTTTGCAACTTTGGCCATGTTAATTTTCCATGTAAACTAATTTTTGTTTTCTCTAGGCTATGTTTGGATCTTGTATTTGCGGAGGGAAAAGTGAATGAAGTAAGAGCTAAATTATTTAGGCATCCACATAAAGTGGGGGGTGCTTACCATTTATGCCTAGCACTCTATCGAGGATACTAATTCATGTGCTCAATTGGTTTGGCTTCTACTCTAACCCCTTGAATTGGTATGAGGGTAATTTGGATCTAATATACAATACTTGCTCTAAATCTCTGCTCCAATTAGGTTATAATGCACTTCTGTTTTTCCATATTGATGAAGTAAAAACCACAATTTGAATTGGGAATGAAGGTAAACTATGTAGATAAGGAAATATCTTGGGTTAGAGCTTTTTAGCAATTATGTTAGGTTTCTCTTGAACTCATAAAATGGCTGAAATTTTAGTTTTATTTGTTTAACATCAGGGCTTATGATGAAAGGTATCATGCAATGGTTAAGTAATCAAGTTGTATATAGAAAATGTGAAGTTCAGTATAATTTTTACTTTTGCGCAATTTAATGTTATATGCTAAGATTTTGTTGCATGATAATCATTAACCGGTCTTTACCTTTTGATGATTAATTTTTGCATGCTCTAGGGCCTTTACAAGCTATCTGTCTCCACAGACCAGACGCCTACTATAAGCCTTATAAATTTCCAAGTAAACCTGTACTTTAGTTAGGCTTAGATGGGTTGCCCTTTTTTGTTTTGTTTCATTTTCTTTTAATGGAGTGCATTTACTCTCTCTCTCTCTCCCTCTCATCTTTAGAGTGGTTGCTCTTTTCTGTTTTGTTTCATTGTCTTTTAATGGAGTGCATTTCCTCTCTATCTCTCTCTCTCTCACACACACACAGTTTACTTGCTCATTACACTAACATCACTTTGTACTCATCCTTATCAGTGCTATAATAAGAACTGCGCTGTTTGTTACAAATCCTGTCCTCTTCGATAGGGAATGGTGGACAGGCTGATTAGTCGAATTGAAAAATCTGTGAGAAACACTGTTGGGTGTCAAATATGAATGCATGAGGTGACATGGGAGTGGCCTAGGCAGATTTTGGTTGAGTGCTAATCATCAAAAAAAAAAAAAAAACTTCATTGATTTAATATGATGTTTAGCAAAGCATATACATAAGTTATTTATTTATCAGAGTTCTCCTTATTGTTATATTGTTAGCTGCTCTTATTCCATCGTAGCAAGGTTTTGAAGCATATTTAAGGGTGCTATGCAAATATTTCAAGTGCCACCCCCTTGGGTTGTCTGAAAATAAGGTTCATTTATCGATCTTGTATTAAGTTGTCAAGTAGGTTACTTAAAGTGATGATCTTGCTAATTTTATAATTCGATCGGATAGATAGATCTTAAACTTAGTATTACATTGTTATTGGCACTTTATGAAGTGGCTTTTTGTATTCTCTATTGCTTAGCACTCTCTCTCTGTTAATCATTCTTGGAACGTGGTTTACAGTGTGCTAGTCATTTGTTAACACACGATCATATCTGAGAGGCAAAATCCTCCCCTGGCTACTTTTGGTTTGTCTGTGGTAATACCATGCAAATTACTGTAATTGGTCCATCAATTTCTCAGTGCCGTTGAATCTTGCTGAGTTCTTTAATTGTTTCGGTCATATGATTAATTATATTGTGCTATAGCTATGTTTATGTCATCTGTTGCTTATGGAAATGAAGTTTTTCACTTCTTTGTCTTAGGGTTCCTTGATTTATCTTCCATGGTCCTTGATATTAATTGATTGCTAGCTGCAGAATTATCTAAAACAACAATTATCTAAAACCTTGTCATCAAGCAGTTCACAGTCTAAATTTCTCCATCTGTATTTATCCTCTATTTTAAATTTCATGTTTTGAAATTTGTTTCCAAATTCAATCATCACTGCATTTGAAAACTATGATAATGCTAGCTATTTATGATGAAATTTTATGTCATTGGATAGAAAACTATGAAATTTTAATGTTTGGTATACTAGCAAAACCATCTTTTCTTTTCCAAATAGCAATTTAATTTATTACCTTTCTCTTAGGGCTGATGGCCCTAAATTTCTGTGATGTCATGTGACAATGGATTTTCTTTAAGGCTATGAAGATAAACATGTAGATGTGCAGGTAAAATAGAATTGATATCTCATGAATTTACTTGAGTTATTGTGTGCTTGTGATCTCTAAGTTTATATTGAAGGCTTTGTTTAGTATATAGGGAAGGTTAATCCTCAATACTACGCAAGAAGACCCATAACCATTGCAGTAGTAGAAAAAATCATATTTACATGTGTTTTCCCCCCTAAATATTTAGTCTAATGGAAATCAACCTATTTCAGTTATTTTCCTTTTTTGTTTTTTGAAATGTTATAGAGGTATTATTGTACATATACACTGCAAGGTTGTTATAAGGTAGTGTTAAACTTGTGATATGCTTCACAGTTGTAGTCAAAGTCAGTGAGGAAGCTACTTATGGCCTAAGGTCTCCAAAATTCATCCAATAACCCTCTATTTTGGAGTATTTTTATAATGTAGATGACATGGTCCCTAAATTTTTCCAAAATTCTTTTGGTTTTCCTATATTTCAGGAGTATTTTTACAGTGTATATGGGATGACTATTCACATATTAATATTATATAATAGCATCAGTGTGTACTTTGGCACCCAAAAAAATATATATATATATACATAATATGTAAAAACATTTTTTTTTCAAATATAAAAATCATAGAGGTATTTTTTTTTTTTCATTCATAGAGGTATTTCTTTTTAAATAAAGTAGCTACTGTGAAAATAATATAACAAAAATGAGGATCAAGGTAAGTTATAGTTTCCTAATCAGTTAGCTGATACCTAAGCAATGCAGCTCTCCCCCAAGGAGCCTACTTCTTTACCTCTCCATTTCCCAAATGACCATTTGGATGTTGTCATTTGTGGCTACTCTAATGGTTACCATCCAATTTTGGGTAGCTTTTGTCAATTTTGAATTTGTTAAGTGATGCAGATTGCATAAAACTGTTATGACCTTACCACTATTATATATTTTCCAAAAAAATTCATAAGTTTGTAAGTTTTGAAGAAGAGATTTCCTCTTAAGATGGATTTATTTTTTTGCAGGTTGTTGAGTTTGCCCTGGCTTTGCAGGAAGCTGGATGCTTTTCTGTTGTTCTGGAATGTATGCTTGCATCTGTTGCTGCTGCTGCAACATTTGCTCTTCGAATCCCTACAATTGGTATTGGGACAAGGCCTTTTTGTATTGGCCAAGTTAATTGATTCTTTAGCTCTCTCTACTACTCCTAATAATAAATTAGACTTGACTGGCTTGTGTTGTGTATAATCTTTTTGCTTTCATTTGTACATATAATTTGCTATCTGATCTTGTAATTTGCTTTTCAAGTACTAAAGTGGGCATTTTAATGATATCATGTGTTCATATATTGAGTTTACTCATGTAATGAACTTTGAATTTGCTTCTCTCTCTCTCTCTCTCTCTATATATATATATATATATATTAAAAATAACCTTCTACGGCATACAAAATTATGTTGTGAAAAGTGATGTAATTTATGACATGTAAGAAAATGCCGTAAAAGATTATATACGGCATACAAAGTATGCCAGAAATATATTAATAATAACTTTTTAAGGCATACAAAATTATGTTGTAAAAAGTGTAATAATTTATGACATGTAAGAAAAATGTTGTAAAAGATTATATACGGCATACATAGTGTGTGAGTGATTTTCTGATCACACTGCCCGCTTAGTAATCAGCTAAAGAGCACTGGCAGAATAGATGGCTTCAGTTATCCTGCAACATAAAGAAAAGGCTCCGGCGGTGGCTCTTCCACCCGGGGGCACTCCGACGATCAAGTCAGTATATCTCTCAAAGATAATCAAGTGCTAAAAACTGCTCAAAACATAAATTTTGTACCTTAGACCCACGGGGGTGCCTCTTTTTTATAGTTTACTTAATCCTAGTCTCACAAGAAGCCTGACTTCTATGGACTCCAATTTAATACTTACTTTGAACTCTTCAAGAGATAAAGATAAACTCCTTAAGAGCTTTATACTCATCTTGACTAATTCTCCTCTTTATCCTAGGACTCTTATCCCTTATCTTTTATCCTTTTATCTTGGATTCTGATATCTTCGGAGATAACCTCGGCATCACGACCAGGACACGTGGCACCTCGGCTAACACGTCGGCGTCACCATGCCACGTGTTGGTACTCAGAAAATATATCCCCACAACTACCCCCTAAGTTCTATTACCTCGGCATCCTGAGGTGATGGAACCTATATCATTTGAACCCATAACACGTCGGCTAAACTTGCTCTATTATTCATTACCGAGGTTATCACAGATCGGCTTCCATATGAACAAGAATTTCAAGAACCCTTCCACGCGTATGAGCTGTCATACACCATAATTCAACCGTTTTTAACCACGCGTTTCTTTCTTACTGGTTCATACCTGTGACGCGCCCATAAGCCGTCTCTTTCTTACGTGCGCCGTCTGACGTATACGTTCTTCTAGGCATATTGATTATTTTTTGCCGCCGTTTTTATTTTTGACAAAACCTTTTCCCCTTTCCTCATTTTTCCACTTTTGCATCTGATTTCTCTTGCTTTTTCTCTCCCTAAACTCTTTCTTTCGAATCCGCCATTGCTTAAGCTCTAAGCTCTGCAATTGTTTTCATTCGTCTTTCTGGTGAACCTTTCGCTACTCTGTTACTCCTGCAACCATTGTCTGACTTCGGAAAACCTTATTTCGGCCTTACTTCTTCTGGTAAGCTACTGTTCCTTTTTTTTTCAATTCTGTTGATATTCTTCATTACTTGTTGCCTTTACTGCATCTGTTGAAACTCTTAACTTGCGATTCATACACCTGAATGTATCCTTCCCATGATTTTGCCCTTGCCCATATCTTGAACACACGCATTGTTTCACTACTTCCCTGTATCTTTGTCACTAATCTTGGCCCTGTATTTCTTGTATTCTTTATGCTCTTGATAAACCATCTCTGTTCTTGATTCTGAAATTCCATTCTTGCTTTCTGTTTTTGTGTCTTTTCCAAATCTGTGCCTTTGATCTTCATCTCCACAGTTTTAGGTTTGGGATTTGTTTGTAGAACCCACGATTTAGGGCAAAACTGAAACATTCCTTACAAATTTCTGTGCCAGTCCAAACCTAGGTTTTTGCCGAGGTCTCATCAATAAGAAGCATCTTCTTTCTGAATTTTAACCCTTCTAATTCAGGCCGATATCATGGGTATGTGGAGACATAGGGTAGATACCCCGACCAATCTTGAGTACTTTAGGCAAGAGTTCTCCATCCCTGCCGATGTCCATCTGAGGCTGGCTGGGGATGATGACTCCATCATGCCTACAGAAAACTCCATGCCCTTTCCCATTGTAGCTTTTACTGAGTGCGGACTTCGGCTCCCACTCAACATCCTTTTTCGCGAGATTCTTCACTATTATAAGTTGAACCCCATGCAACTGGCAATCAATTCCTATCGAGTGATCTTTGGTGTCATAGCCTTAGCTAAACAGGAAAACGCTAGGATCACCCTAGCCGATATCTAGCATTGCTATACCATGTGTGCCCTTAATTTGAAAGAAAAATGCTACATTTATTACCTTAAGCCGAGGTCTACAGAATTCAAAATCGTAGCCGACCTCCCAGACTCCAACAAGGGGGCTGGAGATGACGATCTCATTACCTCGGGAAATTGGGAGTTTGCTCCAGATGAGGACATCCATCTCTACCCTCTTCCCCGATCAGTTTTAGAGGGCAAGGGTGAGAGTCTAGTATTCAGCTTTGCCTGTTTTCCTTCAAAGTGTTTAATACTTTGTCTGTTTCTGACGTCTGTTCTTCTTGCAGCTGTTCGTCAGCCACCGAAAAATTTTCGCCAATCCTTTGTCCCAGGCAAGGACTTGAAGAAACTTCTGGACTTGCCAGTCCATAAAAGGAATGCGCTTGTGCTTCTCAATTTTATTTCATCATACAAGTCAACTTTGCCCGACGTTCCCAAAAGGAAGAAGAAAAGCCTTTCTCCACCCTCTGCTACAACTCCGTTGACTGCATCATATCACGAACAGATCAAGGATCAACATCTGATTCAGCTGATCAGCCATCAACTTCGGCTCCATACCTAGTCCCAATATCATAACAAAAACATCGGCGACGACTTGTCCTTACTGCCGAGATGGGTCGCCCTAAGCCTATTGCCAAAGATCTTCTGGCCAGCATTCCATCATCTGTTGATGAGCGGCCAACACAAACCCTTCCTCCATCGAAGCCAAAAAGAATAAAAAAGGCTCAACCAAAGGCTAAGGTAGCTCAGGTTGAGTCTGAAGACACTCTGCCTATTTCAAAGTTGGCTGAGAGTGATAAATCTCAACCTTCCACTGGGAAGAGGCGCTGAGTCTCAACCACCAGAATCCCAACAACCAAAAAAGCTGAGGTTTTCTTCTGCAACAACTTCGGGATCAAAAAAGCCCGATGCCCCCTGGGCCCCCACAATTACTTTGGAGGATAAGCCTGTCATGGCAAGTGATAGTGCCGATGATATAAACGTCGGCGTCGCACTCAGTACCGCTCTGCTTCTTCCAGGCGATCTGGAGCGAAACGCCTAGTACAGTGAGTAAAAGAACTATACTCTAATGCTTCAGCACTCTGTTCAAGTAAATGTCTTCTTTTTGGTAATTTTCTTCTTTCTTTCTCTTTATTTCATACTTTGAATATTCTCTAATACCTCTGTTTTCTTTCAGGCCATTCAGCATGCCTACTCTTTTTCAATGCAGTCTTTTGAGAATCGGGAGAGGCTTGTCGAGATGAAGAGGGAGTTCTCTTCCCTCCAAAAGACCAACAAAGGTCTTCAATCAAAGATGAAAAAACTGGAGGACCAAGCCGAGGCCGTAATAAAAGCTCAGGCTAATGCCGAATAGAAGGCTGAGGCTGCTGAAGCCATCAGGAAAGTGGCTGAGTCTCAGAAGAGAGAAGCTGAGGAAAAAATGGTCCAAGCCGAAAAGGAGCTTCAGGAGGCCCTGGCCACCAAGGACGCTGAAATCAAAGAAGCTGGCAAAAAGGTGTACACTCAAGGTATGGCCGATGTTACTAAGGCCTATGAACTTCAAGTGAAGCAGGCATGCAACAAGGGTTTCACTCTTGGTTGGATGTCCCTTCTGAAGAAACTCAATGTTCCTGAGGACTCATCGTTGAGGAAAGTCGATGCCATCCCTCTTCCATTCCCTCCAGCTCAATCTTCAAGTCAAGACATTGGCGAATCTAAGTCTGAAGATGGTGATGAGGAAGAGGACGATGCCTTGGTGAGAAAAGGGAAGAAAGAGGCTACTGCGTCCAAGTCCCTTCCTTCAACTGAGCAAGTCCTGGACTTGACTCAAGATGAAGAGGGCGATGGAGTTGTCAAGGAAACTACCTCGGAGCAGGCATCCTCCGATGTTCCTGTAGCCGAAAAAAGCATTGATGAACCCCTTGCCCAGATTGATGCCGAGATCGCGGAGGAAAAGGCGGTCGAGGTAGCTCTTTCAGATCCTTCCGAGGTCCAAACCCAAGTTGCTGTTGATGCTGATGAAGCTTAATTTTCATGTTTTTCCTGTCTTGTCTTTTGTACTAGACAATGTAAACTTTTTCATATGGCTGATGTGCCCCTGTTTCAACTGAATGTTTAACATAACTTTCCTTCAGTGAATGCTTGTATCTTTGTCTTCTTCTAACAGCTCTTGCATGATTATATACTTAGAATATTTTGCATGTCTTATGTACTCTTCTTTCTTTGTGCAATCTTCTCGGGGTGACACACCTCGGTTATGCCACCTGACGATTTACTTCGGCAAGTACTTGTCTTGTAAATTGTTTACAAATTTCTACAAGGATAAACATGTACTAGTTTAATCTTAACTTTGTGAACTTTTCTTAAGTTATAACAAGTGCCAAACAGTGATCTACTCGTAAATTGCTACAAATTTCCACAAGTGTTAAATAATATATGTCGGCTTAACTTCAACTTGTAAATTGCTACAAATTTCAACAAGTGTTAAGCATTATGTCGGTTTAATTTCAACTTGTAAATTGCTACAAATTTCAACAAGTGAAGATAAACAATTATCTCGGCTTAACTTCAACTTGTAATTTGCTACAAATTTTAACAAGTGAAGATAAACAATTATCTCGGCTTAACTTCATCTTGTAAATTACTACAAATTTCAACAAGCGTTAAGCATTACGTCGGTTTAACTTCAACTTGTAAATTGCTACAAATTTCAACAAGTGAAGATAAACAATTATCTCGGCTTAACTTCAACTTGTAAATTGCTACAAATTTCAACAAGCGTTAAACATTTTTGTCTTCTCTCTGCCCCCAATGTGAACCTGAGTTCCACTTGCGTTCTCATTATGCATCTTTATACAAGTCTTTGGAGAACTCTGCTAAAATTTTATTGATGA